AGGTGAAAATGAACAGTGATTTCGCCTACCCTAATCACCGTCCAAAGTTCATCGCATGGTCACGATTGTCTGGTAGTGTTTCATTTTTCATTTTTTTCTACAAATCTAAATGACCTAAAATTTGAAAAATTAATAATTACAGAGTAAATTTGATAAATTTACTAAGTACGTTAAAAAACGTTCTACTTTTGCCGACGCACTTACTTTTATGCTCATATTGGTGCAGCTTAGTGGCATTGATGCAAGGGTTTTGGAAGAACAAAAACTAGAAACCCCATCTACATATGCAGAGGGCTTTGATTTTGAGAATATCCCCCTTTACCTTAATAATAATGGCAAACAAAAATTCCAATCTACAGAGGACGACTCAAATTCTGATATAACCAGCCATCACCACTCTAGCTTGCTTACTGATCATAGTCTAGGACCCGGCAATTTTTTCTTCCACATGAAGGATCTCAAGGTTGGAAACAAATTTGACCTCTACAATATGGGTGATCTAGTCCAGGAAGCTACATCCCCTCTACCACGCCATGAAGCCGACTCCCCTCCCTTTGCATTTGCTTCACTCACTGAAATCTTGCATCACTTCTCAATCCCTCCGGACTCACCTAAAGCTAAGAAAGTAGCACAGAACTTTCAAATATGTGAGTCCCCCCAAGTAGGAAACGAACATAAGTTTTGTGCCACAAGCCTCGAGTCTATGTATGACTTTGTCTCATCAATCTTGGGGCCTAAGGCTAAACCCCAAGTGTTGGCAACTACCGCGCACAACGGAGAGAATCGTCCTCCCCTTGTGCAATCTTATATTGTGAAAGCGATTCCGGTTCGAGTAACAACACCATCTTTGCCGGTTTGTCATCCAATGACTTACCCGTATGCTTTGTATTTTTGCCATGCTGCGGCGAAAACCACAGCCTTGATGGTGAAGCTGGAAGGTGAGGATGGAAGCAAGATTGATGCTGCAGCAGTTTGTCACTTGGACACCTCTGATTGGGTCTCCAACCATGTTTCTTTTAAAGTGCTCGGCATCAAGCCAGGTACTGAACCTGTCTGCCATTTTATTCCGGAGAATAACTTTCTTTTCATTACGAATTCTCTTGAGGCGGCCATGTGATCTGATCCAGATTCATGTTGGGTGGTATGAATGGCACTGTGTTTGCATGTAGTTGTCCTTGTGTTTGTAAAAAAGGCATTCCCTTGTTCGAAATAAGGTGATTTTCAACCTTGAGCCTCTGGTTATCATGAGGTGCTTCTATTAAGCATTTCTTAATATATATATATATATATAGTTCACGTTAGAAAATAAATAAAAAATAATGCACTCATTTTTTTTATTTTTTATTCTTAGTATGTTAGCATTTGGGAGAACATTACGTTGGGAAAACAAAAAAATACATTTTGTTGCCAATTTTCCATGTAATTAATGGTGGCCCCTACATCATAAACAAATGATTTAATTAATTGATTCCAAGAGAGCAAATTTCGGCTTAACATCAAGATCAAAGCGTTTTTCTTTTTCTTTTTTTGTTTTTTTCCCCTTTTTGTCAATATTGGTGAAGTTATTACGATATTGGTCTTGGGTGGTCCAATAAAACCACCCTAGACCTAACATGGAGTTATAAAAAAGGAAATTTTATTAAAATATCCTTGGGAGATAACTATTCAAAATGTTACCCTTCTGGCAGTATTCCAATTCAAGACAATGTGCTCTTTCATTGGTATTTTAATTTTTTGTAATATTATTTAATTTTGTTGCTATAAAAGATAGTTACGAGCGAATCCAGTGTTTGAAAACTCGCCGAGTTGAGCCGGACGCGCCCGGTTCGATTCGGGAATCGTCTGCTACCAACCCGGTTCCACAAAAAAATCGGGAATCGTCCGTGTCCTTTTTACATGTGCTCGCCTAGAGAACAACACGTGGCCACAAGTGGCCTCCTCACGGGAGCAACACGTGGTAACTCCCCTCACATGTCTTCCCCCTCGCTTTTCTACACGCACAATGAAGTATCCATTACAAAGGACTTTATAGATAACCAAACAACACTCATCTTTCGATGTGGGATAATTCCCACAAAAAATCATTAAAGCAAGATGTTTGAATATATATTATTATAGAATCAAATAAAATCATATGAGGCGACGTGGCTGTGTTGGTTGACAACTTGGATTTTGCGGTGGACGTCTAGGGTTCGAACCCCTTAGCGCACAACAAAATTTTTTTTGGAGTTCGAACCCCTTAGCCTTAGCGCACAACAAAAATTTTTTTAGTTCGAACCCCTTAGCGCACAACAAAAAAAATAAACAAAGATAGAAAATAAACAAAGAAAATAAACAAAGATAGAAAATACTATTGTAAAAAAATAGAAAAAATATAAAATAAAAGGCTTTTCAAGATAAAAATAAAAAAAATAACGCAACATTTTTTTATTTTTCTTGTAAAAAAATACAATTTGTTGTAAAAAAGATAAACAAAGTCAGAAAATACTGTTGTAAACAAATAAAAAATTATAAAATAAAAGGTTTTTCAAGATAAAGATAAAAAAAATAATACAACATTTTTTTTTTTTCTTGTAAAAAAAATACTAGGTAATATAACAAGTATTTCTTGCAAAAAAATAAAACAAATGGCATAAAAAAATAAAATGTACTTTGGCAGCATCATTTCTTTATTTTTCTTGTAAAAAAAAATAAAAAGTAATACAACAAGCAAAAAAAATGTAGTACAACATCTTCTTCTTTTGTCAAAAAAAAAAGAAAAAGATAATCAACAAGTATCATATTTTTCTTGTAAAAAAAACATAAAAGATAACACAATAAATATTTCTTGTCAAAAAAATAAAAGGTATTTCTTAATACAATCTGGGAATAAATGGTCTAATTATATTTTTTATTTTTATAACATGATGGTCTTTAACATAAATTTAGTAATATTAATTTAAAGATAGGATTCATACAATAAGGCCATTTGAAATCTCTCTCTTTCTACTAACAATCTCTTCCACTAATTTATTCTACAAACCTAAAAAATTAAAGAAAATTGGTATGCATTCTAATAATTTCTATATTGATAACCAAATCTTTTATTTTATTTATTAAGTTTTGTATTATAAATCATGTAGTGTACTATTTTTTTTACAGTTGTCAATAATACATTTTAAATTAGATGATATTATGAAATATTTTAGATTTGTTATTATTTATATAATGATATAATTATAAATATTGTTGGTATATAATATTATAGTTAGTTATGTTGTAATAATTTGGGTTTTCTTAGCGGATTAGGGTTTTCCGCCAATTCGAGATTTTAGTGCCCAATTTTTCATCGATTTAATCAACTCTTTATTATAGTCCATATATGATTATATACTTAATCCATGATAATTCTGTAAATTTAATAGTCAACATAAGTTCATACAGGGAAAGAACATCTCAATATTCATAAATTGATGAAAACAATGAAAGTTAATAATGTAGTACCCTCATTTATTATTGGATTCCTAAAAAACAACATTTATAATGAATTTTAATAAATTTTTTTATTCTTTTTAAGGCTTAATCCGAGCGATTCAGGCCGATTCCTGATCCGCATTGTCGATTCAACGATCCGGATAGGTTTTGAGATGCTCGATCTGGGTCACCGATCCGTTTTTTAAACCACTAAGCGAATCACAATAACGAGCTTTGCAAAATCACTCTAGCTAGTCCATATGCCAATTCATTAGCCTCCTTATATACATGCTTGAAAAAGAGAGTCATCGAACTACTTGATTTAGGTGTTGGAATTATTGTTGTGGGGTGTTTAATAAGATGGGAAGACAATATTGAGATAATTATCAATATGGAAATCTCTCTCTCTTTCTTAAAAGTGTTTTGTACTGTTCAATTTTCAAAAAAATACATGATACTTTGGGGTGTTTTTAAATCAGTGGTTTTTTCTTACACTTCCAAGGTTATTAATTGGTTATCGAAAGGTGTAAGTGTTTAGCTATGCTTGTGATATTCCAAGGTATTATGTGTTGTTTAATGTTTTAAGAACATTTGCATTATCGAGGGGACAACTGTGTTCAAAGAGTGCTCCGGATAGAGAAGCAAACACAAGTGAACTTTGCACAAGAGTGATATGAACAATTGAATAGGAGGGCTAATAATATTCTAGCAGCACCCTATAAATATCATAAACAGTATGGTTGAAGGACATCCCCAGTGCCACCACGCCACAACTGAAGCGGGTAGCTTGCAGTAGCAAGGTAGCACCCTCCTTCTGGGCGAGTCAACAGAACTACATGCATTAATTTGGGTAACTCCTTAACTGGAGGGTAGTCTAGTAGCTCATATAGCTTCCCTTCCACCTCTGCTTCTTTAAATTCGATGCACTCATCGTTGCACTCGACATAGGCAGCACCACTATCATCTCCAACTATCGTCCCTGAAAGAGGGTAAAAAACAGCCAGGACATCAGATGATTATTTCTTCAATTTACAAACATAGTCTTCTGAATCACCTTATTCATTCCTCTTCAAAGGACAGTGAAAAAGGATGAGAGGAACATAGATAACTAGATGAGAGGTGTGAATTGGTCAAGGAGAGAGATCATAAAGCAATGGAGGTGTGAAGGAGTTGCAGAGGATGGCTTGATGACGGTCGAATTGAGAACATTGAGGATCAACATTTTTTACCAAATGAACCTTTTGATCCATATGTATGCATACAGTATGGTGCTGGCACTAAGGTGAGTGGACTTTGCCTATACAATGAAACAATTGTAGTTCGTATAAGGCCGAGGCTCTAAACAATCCAAGCAAGGAGCACTTTTCAATAGTGTCGAAAGATGTTTCAATACTGGAAGTCTTTGTGATGGCTTGAAATTTTAATTTCATCTCTAATTATATAATTTTAAACTTCAAAAGCAGTGTAAATAGAGCGTATCTATGAACACTTGAAAATCTTTAGAATTGACGCTCTGAAAATGCATTACAAGATGCATCATTTCTAAGACTTAAAATCCATTTTTTCTCGTGTCCATACATCTTGAGGTCGAGATGATCAATTTAAGGAGTTTTGGCAACCTCTTTAAGTGAATTTTTGAAGTGTGCCCTAAATTGATTATTTAGAGCCTCGCTCTTATATGAATTTTTTCCATTGTTCTATTTATCCCCCAAAAAAAAAAACAAACAATTTTCCAGCCATCTCCTATATAGAATAGTGTAAAATAGTGGGGAACATCAGGTGGCTGATTGCCTAAGAATGATTTTCTAATTTTGAAAATTTGAAATTCCCTTTAGAATCATTTAATGAGTATTTTCACACAAGGATAACAATATTTGAGATTTTGAACACTTAGAATCCTAGATTTGTAATACTCATGGACAAGGATTTATGCAAGGGAGTGCCAGTAACAAATAATCCAGATATGCTCCGGCAGGAGCACCTAAGTTTTAGCTTTATTTTTATATTGGCATAAAGAGACCTATTATTCACCATCTGTCCTCCTAAAAAATGAGCCTGAACTATAGTTCACCCCAACCGTGTATTGGTGAGATAAGATGAATAAACAAAAGACCTATGTGATCTTTTATCGGGGAATACGTTTTTTTTTTTCTTCCTTCACTCTTTTCTTTTGACAAAAGATTACTTACATGTGGTCTCTATTATAATAAGATAAATTTCAAAATAAAATCAACATAACAATAAAACCAAGATCTTACCAACTTGATGCCATTGAAACAACTATGCACTATGCTTGAGAATAAAAGATAAGATTGCAAGAAACAAAAGGAAAAGTGCTGGAGATTACCTCAACCAGGCTTATTACACCCCACACTGAGTCACCATCATCCGATGGTGTGGGATCAACGGTCTAGCTTCAATCTCAAACTGAGAAAGCAAATTTCGACCAAACTACACTAATAGAACATGAACTCTTTTGATCACAAACTCAAACCCTAGGTGAATTCTCTTAACAACCTAGTTTGAGAGAGATAGATTCTCTTTTTACTAAATCCTAAATCTCTTAGCCGTAAATCCATACTTAAGAGATAGGAGAGAAGAACTCCATAACCTAAACCCTTAGGTTCTTTCACAATGTGGGAGAGAGAGATCAAACATGAGATAGATAAACTTTCTTAAGAGAGAGAGAAAAAAAGATAAGGTATAAAGATTTTTGTTAGAGACAATCCTTTTTTATAGGTTTTGAATAAGATTAGGGTTTTCTTTGGTTTG